GTCAAACCGGGACTGTGACACCATGCTGGCCACACAGCAGACGTACATGCAGCGAAAGGAACAGCGTCTTGCTCTATTCTTTGGAACACCAGAGGACGCAGAGAGTAACTATGCCAAACGGAAAGGCTTAGAAGACCGAGGCCTTCTTAAAAGATAGCGTCACTCGCCAAAGCCAGAAGATCTGCAGTTTGACAAGGATGGGCCTCTGCAAGAAGTTAAAAAAAATGAAGGATGGAGGCAGGCTAGCATTATATTTTAACTGGTATTTAGTATAAGTTTAATTTGCTAGTATGGATTCAAGTTATGTATTCGCAGAGATCAACCAGACAAGCAATAGTAAATTAACTAATTTAATTATTGATCTAGTAAGTAATAACATAAAGTTCAGGGCTCTTAAGAGCCTCAACATTCTATATGACTATATCAGTTATATAGATATAATAAAAAAAAAAACTGACTAAGCATTCAAATCAGTGTACCAATTTAATGCAGTATATGTTGCTACAAGAAGTTTATTTTTCTCCATAAATTGTCCTAATCCCTAGATTTGTTTTTTCCTGTAAAGATAAATTACTCTAAACTTGCCCGCCAATATGGAGTGATGCAGCAAACAAAGTTAATGAACATGGTTGTGAAAGAGTTCTTAGAAACTAACAACTGTCCAGATTAAAAAAGGTTCGGGAGAAAACTCCTGCTGCCAGACGGAGGTTAGGCCGAATGCAGGGTGGAGAGATATCAGTTCCTCTACCACGCACAAATGATCAAATAAGGGAAAGATTAATTACTCTGAACTTGCCCGCCAATATGGAGTGATGCAGCAAACAAAGTTGGGGAACATGGTTGTGAAAGAGTTCTTAGAAACTAACAACTGTCCAGATTAAAAAAGTTTCGGGAAAAAACTCCTGCTGCCAGACGGAGGCTAAGCCGAATGCAGGGTGGAGAGATATCAGTTCCACTACCACGCACAAATGATCAAATAAGGGAAAGATAAATTAATGTAGAGAGAGGTACGTTTTCAAAAACATTAAGTAAAAAAAAACACTACAATGCTGACTAGTTTGGCGGAACTTTGTGTCACTGTCCCTACAAATCCACCAGTCTCCCATCTCCTCATTAAAATCAATAAATAAATTAAGAAAAGAAGTGAGGTTCAATGTAAAAATAGGCCATACAACAGTCTGTTCGGTATTCTTTACTTAACTATTTTTTTTTCCATTCAGCAGATATTCCGAAAGCTTCTAGTGCCGATCTTCATGGCAAACGATCATAAATAAATAAGGAATCGTTTATGTCCACAGATCGTAACTTTTGAAATTCGGAAAAAAAATCTTTCTTTGGAGTTAGTGTTGTGGAACAAACGAGATAAGACTCAGCCTGTAAATTTCTCTTGATAAATAAAATATAATCTTTTGTTTTAAAGGAAGTTTCTAGGCTGATTTTGTATTGGATTGGGTTTTCATCCTTCTGATAGACTGAAAGATCTCGGTATTTTCCTACAAAGCGTTAACTGAATCCTAGGTCATTGACACGATCCGATAACTGGAAAAGAACAATCAATTCAAACTAACTCCACTTGATCAGGGAAATAGGTTCTAAATATAAAGCTCATTCATCCTTTGTTTATGTTTGTCGTTGGTTTTTTTCCCCTTTTTTGTCAGAGAATGTAGTTGTAGTGTAAACAATATAATTTGGATATATGAACAAACAATGTCTTAGCCCGACGAAGGGCTAATGCTGGAGACGTCAGCTTTTGTAATCGTTATTATATTATTAATCCTCTTCGTGTCACTAAGAGACACATAAGGCCTCGACCAGAGTTCGCCATTGATGTCTGGCGGGTGCTTGCCGCTTCAGGTGACCCCAAGTCCAGTTGTTGTCCTTCATTTCCCTTTCCACCGTCCTCCTCCAGGTTTCTTTTGGTCTTCCTCTCTTCCTACGTCCATCAGGGGTCCATCTGAGAGCAACTCGTGGTAGTGCTGCTGGTGGAATGCGCACCACATGCCCAATCCATTTCCATCTCCTCTTCTGGACTTGCTTTGTGATTGGTACTGTTCGTGTTCTCCCACGCAACTCGTAGTTTGAGATTGTCTGGGGCCAGTATATACAAAGAATCCTTCGCAAGCACCTGTTCTGGAAGACTATTAGCTTGTGACTGATGGTTTTGGTCATCTTCTAGGATTCTGCGCCGTACAGTAGAGTGCTTAAGACATTGCTCTTAAAGAGTCGGATCTTATTATTCTGGCTGATGTTCTTGGATCTCCAAGTGCCCCGAAGCGCAGCAAAAGCCTGACTTGCCTTCGAAATCCGGACTTGGATCTCTTCTTCACCATCTCCCCTGATAGATACCTTGGACCCTAGGTAAGTAAAGTGATCAACCTGGTCTACTACATCCCCATTCACCATGATGGATTCATTGGTTCTACTATTCATCCTAATGTTCCTTGTTTTCTTGATATTGATTTCAAGGCCCAAGCTCCCTACTGTAGTTTCCAAGGCGTTGGTCTTTGCCTGCATGTCCTGGTGTCGGTGGGCAAGAAGCACAATATCATCAGCATAGTCTAGATCTTCCAAGAAACTTATCAAAGTCCATCTGATTCCTCTTCTTCCATCACTAGTGACTTGGTTTTTTTCCCCCTTTTTTGTCAGAGAATGTAGTTGTAGCGTAAATAATATCATTTGGATATATCAACAAACAATTTATTAGCCCGACGAAGGGCTAATGATCGAAACATCAGCTTTTGTAATTGTTACGGTGGCCAATTTACCATTTAAACTTTGTTGATATATCCAAATTATTTCGTTACTCCCACCGACGCAGCCCGAAACAGTTTCTTTCGAAACTATCAGCCTTTATTCATTTGTAAACAATATAGTTTGGTCCAATTTATCAACGGCCTCACTAAAATCTGATAAAGTCAATTAGTTGTTGACATCCACTCCACTTTATGTTCAGATCTTTTTGCAACAAATCCCTGCGTTTGTTTTTGTTGTTTTTATTCCTGTTTATATTCAACTTTCATTATCTATCCATCCGTTATTATATTTGGTCATATTAGTCTTTCCTCTTGATGACTTTTAATGAGATAAGATCAGTTTCTCTTTCAGTCAGGAAGAAAGTGGTTATGTTGGTATGTATCATAGCTTTCTATTTTTTATTTTTTATTTTTGCAAGGTACAGTCTCAAAATGCAAAACAATTCATCAGTCTACTCATAAAACGAGATTAAAAGTTGTATATCATAGAAAGTGAAACACCACTTTTGATAGATATCCGTTCCTATTTGGACGAGAGAATTCAATAGCCGAGCCGATGAGGACTCCCCTTTTTCATACCGAAGCATTCCTCTTGTGTTCAAGAAAACGCGTCGAATGACGAGACCAAACAACGGCTGCGAAGGAGACTAAAAATAGATGTGCTTCGTACAAAGTGACTTGTAACTCTTGCTTAACTCTTGCAAATCCTCGTTACCAGCGATCAAGTCAGCAGTGGGTGGCAGAGGAGTTGGTGGTACGCGATTACATCATGCATGCCGTTCTTGATAATCTCGATATGAATCAGCATGCCGCGGTACAAAGGTCTTCCACCACCTTCGCTTTACTGGACATGCTTCATGTTTGGTCTGAGCGCACCGACGGGAATGGTGCTGCTATAAGAACTACTTTGTTCGATTACCGTAAGGCCTTTGATTTAATTGACCATAGCATCCTTATAAAAACTTATGTAAGTTAAACGTGCCAAATAGCGTAATTAATTGGGTTACCAACTTCTTGTCAGATAGATCTCAAAGAATCAAACTTAGTGAGGGATGTTTATCTGAGTGGGGATCAGTACCATCGGGCGTCCCTCAGGGAACCAAACTAGGGCCTTGGCTTTTCTTAATTATGATCAACGATCTAGTAGTCGAAAATGCTCGCTTATGGAAAAACGTAGATGACATCACCATCTCCGAGACGGTTGCAAAAAGGGAGCTTAGTAACGCACAGCGTCATACAGATAGAGTAATACAGTGGTCCCTAGAAAATAGAGTCCAACTAAACAATGAAAAGTGTAAAGAGATGCGAATATCATTTTCAAAGTTCCAGCAAGAATTTGAGCCCATTCACATCAATGGCGATGCTTTAGAAGTGGTAGAAAATGTAAAGCTTTTGGGTCTTAATATCTCCAGTATTTTGACCTGGAATACCCATATTAATAAAATTGTTAAAAAATCCTCTAAGAGATTATATTTCTTGATTCAACTTAAGAGAGCCAAGGTTGCTCGTACTGATATAGGGCTCTTTTATTCTAGTTGTATTAGATCAATCATGGACTATGAAGTACCGGTTTTTCACTATAGTTTGCCTAAATATTTAATGCGAGAATTAGAACACGTACAGAAGAGAGCAATGTCCATCATCTGTCCTGGTCATAGCTATCATGAAGCCCTGGATATTATGAAATTTAAATAATTAGCCATCCATCACGACGAAATATGTGAGTCACTTTTCGAAAAAATTGTAAATGACAACAATCACCGTCTTCAAAAGTTAATACCAGCAGCACATGAAACTACCTACTTGTTAAGACGCGCGCGACCTTTTAATGTACAACGCTTCAAAACCAGTCGTTTTAAGAATAGTTTTATTATTTCCACGTGTCCGAGTAAAGCGAACTCATCTTAGCTTTCCCTTTTTTTTAGTCGATTGAACGCTTTTTAATAACTAAGTAGTTAATATTTAAATTAGTTTAATTTCACTATCTGTATTATGCGAGTAAATACACAATTCAGTTTTTTAACTGCTATGTATTTATGAATAAATAAACTTCAACTTCAACTTTAGCAGTAACACTATCATTATATAAAAAGTTAATCATATTTTTATCATGTAGGTGTACGTGGGTGTGAAATAATCTTTAATTTACGGGATACGTTTTAACTCAGCGGTTGGTCACAATGTGTGACTGCGTTATACTATTGTCACCTTTTAAACGAGGGTCACATTGCCAGCCCATAAGCGGTTATCAACAAAACGTTCCCTTTTTTTCAAGATTAAGAGTCCTCGCATACCAAACTCTCCGTCATGTGCGCCCTTCTATTTGGATTAAAATATGTAGTGATTGCTGCTGCGATAACTCATCTAGCAGGTAAGTAAGTGTTCGTTTTAGCTTGTTGAAGAATGTCTCAAGATCGATCGTGTTTAAGTCGCCAAGCTTACAAGCTGCCAATGACGGAAAATAAAGAGATTATAATTTATGTGATAAAGCAAACGAGAAGTTGTTATCTATACGCCAGAAGGCGTTGTTTGACCATCTCATCTCACCGTAGTCATATCCCGATTTATCTATGGATCGACGTCTATGTATTGTTTGGGAGCTGCTGAAGATCACGAATTTAATGACAAACGTCTGTACGCCTACTTACGGTTAAGAAAACAGAGGTAATGAATTTGTCTCGGTTGCGCCTGTTTAGCGTTAAGTATAAAATTCAATTTGCCTTTTAAAGCTGGTGTACTTCTGTCTTAGGAAGGTACAACAAAGCGCGAATGCTAAATGCAATTCCTCTGTCGCTTCGGGTACATCAGTTCATTTACTCTCTACTGATATATATTGTATGTGTTAATGTTTCATGAAATGCTCCTATTTTTTTCGTATTAATTTCACCTTCTTATCGGACCTTATCTAAATATCGCCCGTCGTTATGTATTAAGTGTAGCAACATTGACTTTTGTTCTTCTTTTCTGAGCGTTACTTCGTAAACAAGCGTGACTGCTGAAGTAAAGCTGGTGACCTTCCAACAGAGGGTCACATCGTCGTTTAGCTAATCTTTTATCACGCCTCTAGCAAACTGTCTTTTTGAGCAAAACCATACATCCTGTCATGACTGAAAAATCACAGTAATGCGTGGAGTGCAAGTAATTCATAATTACTTTGTGTTTGCTGTCGCAATTACTCCTATGGCAGGTAAGTAAGGTTTGTTCTATACGTAAAAAGATCGGCTCCTTTGGAGGACACAGGAAACTGCTACCCAAAATATGTAGTTTGAGTTCTAGCACATACCACACATCACAGTGTAGGAACGCCTTCCTTTCTCGTCATACCGTTAAATTCGGTGATTATATTACCAGTTTCAATTTAACAGACGCTAGTGTGACCTGGATCGCTTAAAATTCAGACAAAGCCATTACTAATGAATGGCTTCCAGGTTTTCTTGCATTTCTGTTTCTCAGTGTTTCAACTTGACGCAATGCAGATTTACACAAAACTGTTTCCTTCGCTCTTTTGTTTCCTCTCAAGTCTGTGGGATTATAAAGGAAACAACTCATTGCTGATACGATTCAACTTGATTGACATAGTGAAGTCCCTGTGTTGAAATTTCGCCAAGTGACAATTACCTTAGCACTTTGGGACTTTCTACCGGAAAATAATGTCTGATCAGAACTTAAAGTGAACAATGCGGTTTTTCATACGATATCAATGCACTTGTTCGTGACCATAGCTAAACCATCTCTACTCTCTGAACTTATCCACCATTTGCATGTAACATAAGTTACTCGTGTAATAGTTATCAAATCTCTTTAAATAGACTTTTCAAATAATATTTTGAGTCTGTTAATTCAACTTTCAATAAATATTTATACGCGATCAAAAGACCAAATACCGGTGTTGATTTAAAGGCTTGATTGACGGTTAAACGGTGATCAGTTGGTGCTGGCTGGGTTTTATAAGTGTGTCTCTGTAAGTGCGTTTCACGTTAATTTCGACGATTAAAACCGATTAAATCGAAAGAATGAGCCTCGTATACGATATCACAGACCCGGGTTATTATAAAATCATAATCGAGTTTCCACTTGCAGATTTAGCAAGGCATGAAAATATGATAGAATGATGAAAATTTCATCCGAAGTGTACAGCATGTGGTTTTATGGCAAAGAACAATTCCAAATGGGCAAGGCTAAACGCAGAATATGATTTGTATCAAGTGATAACAATGTCATCCGACACGATGCTAAAGCGCATTGGTAATATATGGTTAGGAGTAATGAAGTCAGCTTCACCGAAGTAACTCTGGGTACCATTAACTTTGATTTTAAGTCTGAAAAGTTCATTTATTGTTACAGTAACTATAATTCTGTTACTGAATTGGTAATAAAAAATCTCGAATCTATTCACCCTGAATTTTAGGCATTTAGAGATTTGACTTCTACAAGTTTCCAGATCATGACTTTTTCACTTGTGACCATGCGTAATATTAAGCCGTTCGAATTCACATTTCTGGTTATGTTTTCACTCAGGTGGCCTTTCGTTCACTTCCCCTTATGGAGGACGTACTGTGACAGCATCTCGTGGTTCTTCATTTAACTTCACATGGACCTTCTTCGCAAATGACGGCTTTTATAACATTGTTTTTGGTTTAATGAATTCCCTTATCCAAAACAGGATTGACGGCAATGATCAACTCATACGGATAACAAGTGGTGGTGTCATGTCAATAAAGCAAGCATATGTAGGTCGCCTCAAAGGCAGTTGGAACAACGAGACAAACCCAGGTCAAGTGACGCTTACTCTAAGCTCAATCAAAGCACAAGATAGCAGACTGTTTGGTTGTCTGATTCAACCGTGGTTCTTCCATTTGAGTCCCATTGTAGACCCTGTAAAATTATTTGTTGTTGGTAAGTACCGCTGTTGCCTTCTTTTGTCTTTAATATAAGATCACGATATAAATGGACGAGATAACATCACTGATTCCGATGGAAAGTGACAGTGGAGATAACAATAAAAAAACTATGATGAGTGGTATATTAGCGCAACATAAAATAGTGATAATCCGAGTGATTGTTCGTCTGCACTACCTAAAGGGCCAAACGGTAGCAGCCATATACAGCTGTTTTCGCCCTTGGCAGGTGTGTCATGATTCTTTAACCAATATGATGGCTTGGGGTTCCAAATTGATCCAACATGGTACATTTCTTAGTTAGCAACATATGAGTACATTCCAAACAACCCGACATGAAGCTCAAACATCGATCATGATCATGTCCACCAATCTCTAACTCTGCTAATTAAGCATTTTTTAAGTCCCAGACAACTTGCTTGGTCAATTTTTCTGTGTATACTATATTTCTAAAAATCGAAAGGGTACCAACGCATTATCAGTGCTGAGGAGACTAACCGGTTTGGTTAGTTAATAGTGTTATATATCACATAGTTCACCCCCCTCATCACCGGCCATGGTCATTTGCTGCATTGAACTTATACTATTTGTTTTAAAGAGTTCAGTCTTTGGCCAAAGTATCTTAATTTTCAATGTCTTATTCTAAACGCCAGTTTTTACAAATATCGCACTATCATCTGAAATTGTTGCCAAGTTAAATATTCACTCATAAAAACAATGATTGTAGCCATGCTGTGTCATTCTTTAACAGGGACTTGTCAATTTACTTTGACTTAAACTTTTATTTAGTTTCGTGATTGGAACTTT